ACCAGCAAAATATTTCTTTCTCTCATTCCCCTGAGGTTTCTGTGGGACGTCAGCAATTAATGACTCTTTCAGCATCAAAGGAGTGCATCCCACTGAAGCCCCAGGTCAGGCCTACTCAGGCTGTCTCCTTATTTTCACCTGGTTTGGATCAGGGGACTTGATCCCACCTTTCCAAATACCAACGAATTTTTTTAAACTTCCTTAAAAACACACACACACACACAAACAAACAAACACCCAACTTTTTTGTTTGTTTGTTTACCCTCACCCAAAGATATTTTTTTCCATTGACTTTCAGAGAAAGTGGGAGGGGGAGAGACAGAGAGAGAAACATGTGAGAGGGATACATTGATTGGATGGATCCAGCTGGCAACCAAGGTAGGTGCCCTTGAGGGGAATTGAACCTGTGACCCTTCAGTCTGAGGGCCGACACTAACCACTGAGCTGCTGGCCAGGGCTAGAAAAAATATATATATATATCTTGATGATAATTACTTCAAGCCAGGAATCAATTTTGGATTATAGGAACTTAATCCAAGCTGCAAATAGCATTTTTCTTTTTCTAATGGGCCATTATATTATGCCAAATTATGTCTATCCCTTTCCTATGAAAAAGGCTCTTTTTCTATAGACTGTCTTATCTAAGTCTAGCTTTCCCCTCCCTCCCTCCCCATGACCACCCATTTAAATATTTTAAAATATGTTTTTATTGATTTCAGGAGAGGAAGGGAAAGGAGAGTTAGAAACATCAATGATGAGAGAATTGTGGACTGGCTGCCTCCTGCACAGCTCTACTGGAGATGGAGCCCACAGCCCAGCTGGGAATTGAATTGTGACCTCCTGATCCAAGGGTCGACACTCAACCACTGAGCCACACCAGCTGGGCCCAATGACCACACGTTTAATCAGTACCCAGTTTAGCAGTACTGTCTGGGGAAGCAATACCACCAACCTGACCCAATGATCTGCCACTCATTATTTCAGGTCAATACACTGCCTCTTGCACACTGCTCAGGTCAAGGAGAGAACTAGGGCAGGGCAGATTCTCACTCTCTGGCGGGATAATCCTTGGATAAGCTTGAAACCTACTTTGGGAAAACACAGATGTGGTTCTAAATTGATCTCCCCCCAATCTTTCTCAAATTCTCCCAAAAATTCAGAAACAACAGGTCTAAGTTAGAGTGGAGCACAAATCAGCATTGGGTTCCAGTTCTTGCTCTGGTCTAATTCCTTAGAGGTCCCATGAGTTCTGAGGTTGTTCTATAATCTTTTTGAACCTCTGTTCCTCCCTCTGTACAATGGGGTGAAATCACTGTCTTGCCTATTTCACAAGGTTACTGCGAGGCCTGAACTAGCTGGTGCATATGCACCTCTAAGCCAGCAAACCACTGCATCGTCTAAAACCTCAGCTGCATTATGCCAGCCCCACCCCTCAGCTAAAGGGACATCTCACCCAGCTGCGTCCTTCCTCTGATGGGCTGCGTAAGTTAGAACCTATGTTTTCAATCTGTTTTAAGACAAAGATTTTGTTTGGTCACATGAACATGTCTCAAGTAGGAATGCTATAATTAGCTCCAGCTGAAGCCTCATTTCCTCAAGTCACTGCCGCTGCCTGCCGTCATCTTTTCTCTTTCTTTAATAAACCCTTCCCCCAAAAAATAAAATAAAAACAAATAAACGCTTCCCTTTCTTGTCTCAGGATGGGCTTCTTGCTCACATGTCCTTTACAAAGGAAATTTCCCTGGCTGGCTGCCCGCTTCCATTGTAAGTAATTTTTCTTCGACTGTCCCAATTTCTTCTGGACAAAACAAAACAAAACAAAAAAAGGCAGATGCCAAAAATGGCTGGTTCATTTCTAAAGAAAACTTGACCCAACCGTGGTAAAGCTAGCAAGAGGCTTTGCTGGTCACGTGGCGTGGCTCGCCCATCACCCACTGATAAGCACTCAAAGCTGATTTCTGAGCAAACCCCAGCCCTTCAGACCAGTCTGAAGGGTCACAGGAAGCAGCTGCCAGAGTCTGATGTATGTCTCAACGCCTATTTCCCTGGCAGACGACCCATTTCTAACCCAAGGGCCCTGACTTCTCTCTTGTTCTGCAAAACTGCAGCACTATTTCTGTTCGTAACTAACACTGATATTATTTCAACAGGAAGTGATATGGGGGTTTATGTGGCAGGGAGTCTTCCTGTTGCCTGGTTATTTACAACAAAGCTGATTTTCTCTCTCAATACTCAAACCATTTAGCATGTACTCCCTTAAAGGTAATAAACAAATACAATGCATAATTCCGAGCTATTTATTATATTATTATAACCCTGTATAATAATAACTTATTCAAAAGCTAGAAGAGTTATAGAAGTAGAGTCTATACTAAATCCCAACACCACAAGAATAAAAAAGTCCTAGCCCTAGCTGGTGTGGCTCAGTGGATAGAGTGTTGGCCTGTGGACTGAAGGGTCCGGGGTTCAATTCTGGTCAAGCGCACATGCCCAGGTTGTGGGCTCAATCCCCAGTTAGGGGTGGACAGGAGGGAGCCGATCAATGATTCTCTCTCATCACTGATGTTTCTAACTCTCTTTCTCCCTTCCTCTCTGAAATCAACAACAATATGTTTAAAAAAAAAATAAAATAAGAGTCCTAGTAGCTCAGTTCGTTAAAGCATTACCTAATATGCTAAGGTTCGATCCACTGTCAGGACACACGCAAGAGTCAACCAGGGAATGCATGGATGAGTGGAACAACAAACTCAACTTTCTTTCTCTCTCTCTCTAAATCCAACAACAACAAAATAAAAAAAAAATAAAAACACACACAACAGAATTTAGATCAGTCACAGAATCAAAAATCTTAGAACCAACGTGACCAAGGGGCCAGGCAACCTTTGGCTAATCAGAAAGGTTTCTTTTAACACTGGACAGAAAAACGATCGCTTTCTCCTTATTTGCCCTTAGAAATTCACTGCCAGAAAAATGGATTAGGATCAATGTCAGATGTGCCTGTGCCGTGAATCACAAGAACATCGTGACTTTGGGTTAGCTCTAAGCTTAGCGTCAACACTGAATGCACTCCCACAGCCAGATGCCCTGATGTGCCTGCAGCACATGCCAAGTAGGTGCAAAGAAGCAGGAAGGTAAGCTGGGCCCACACCTCCCTGGGCCCACAAGGACAAAAGACTCTGATTCAGCCATACTATCTTTCCAAGTGACTTACTCCTTAGATATGTTCAGGAAAACACCAAGCTCACACTACTGTTTTGTGTAAAACTTAAGTTTTATTTTTGTTAATCCTCACCTGAGGATATTTTTCCACTGATTTTTAAAAAGTGGAAGGGAGGAGGAGACACAGAGAGAAACATCGATGTGAGAGAGACACATCGATCGGTTATCTCCTGCACCATCCCCGACCAGGGCTAGGAATGGAGCCTGCAAACCAGGTGTGTGCCCTTGACTGGAATCGAACCTGGGACCCTTCAGTCCACGGGTTGACACTCTATCCACTGAGCCAAACTGACTAGGGCTACTTAATTATTTTTAACTTGTCTCTATAAACCTCTTGGATTTAACCTGTTGATTCTATTCTTACATGGTGTTAACCTTGGTCTTCTTCCCGGGCAGATCCTAAGTAGGTTAAACACCTTAGATGTCAATCCAAGCTATCTTGGACATGAGTTAAAAACACTTTATGTACGCACCTAGCCTACCAAAGAACTGGGTTAATTCTCTGGAGTTTTACCAGATTTCTCCATACTTGGCTGTGAGATTCTGTACAAATGGGCCAAATGAACTAACTTCGAAGAAAAACAGGTGACTAGGTACACGGCGGTCCTCCCCGGGTGTACATCAGGCTAAGCCACACGTAAATGAAATATCCGGGAAAGGGAAGCGACAGCTACAAAGTCAGATGGAAAAACATACCTTGAGAGAAGGGAAAGAAACAGCTTCTGCTTGAGATTCTTACAAAGAAAAGACAGCCGAAACCGGTTTGGCTCAGTGGATAGAGCGTCAGCCTGCGGACTGAAAGGTCCCGGGTTCTATTCCGGTCAAGGGCATGTACCTTGGTTGCGGGCACATCCTCGGTGGGGAGTGTGCAGGAGGCAGCTGGTCGATGTTTCTCTCTCATCGATGTTTCTAGCTCTCTATCCCTCTCTCTTTCTCTCTGTGAAAAATCAATAAAATATATTTAAAAAGAAAAGACAGCACTGCTCTTTCAACGGTACCCCCTTCCCCAGGGCCAAGAGCCACTCCCGAACAGGAGGAATGATATTCCCTACTAGGTACTCACTCACAGTTAGGAAGTATTTTCCCCTGCATTATCTTATCACCTGCAACCCAGCAAGGGATCATCATCCCATCTTCTGGATAAGCATGTCAGTAGGAACGCGCCTAAATCAGGAGAGCTGTCAGTCCTCACCACCCACACCATCACAGATCAGTCTAAAACCCCAGTTCCCCTTTTTTTTTTTTTTCCTCCCTTCTCCCAACTCCCACATGCTTCTGAGAGGAACCAGATCCAGGCCAATGGCTGGCATGGAAACCAGGGGGGAGGGGAGGGGGGCGCGGGGGGAGGATGGATGAACTTGTCAGTGGTGGGTAAGGGGATGCATCAAGCTTATTAGCCTTGAGGTTAGGAGGTGAGGAAAGGCAGACTTCTGAGTCTTGACCTCTATTTTGGGGGAAGCCGGAGCAGTCGGGGACTTTTCGTCCATCAGAAGCTCCCACAGGGTGCCCACCTGTGCCCACGCAGAGCCTTTCCCTCTAGCTTAAGCGCCCACCGAGGTCAAAGAGCTCCACTCCCACCAGCGCCTAAACGGGGTACCCACCGGGCACTCCAGGGTCCCACCAAGACCAAGGGGCCACCCAGCAGACCTGCTAGGCTCCAAGGGGCTGCCCCCATAAGCCGGGACGTTCAGACCCGCCCCCCCTCCTCCCTCCCCGGACTCCCCGTAGTCTGGGACACGCAGGGCCCCCCCTCGCCCGCGCGGACGGTGCGCGCCGCCTACCCGGAGTTCGCCCTCGGTGCGGTGCAATCCCAGGCGTCGCAGCCCCACGGCCAGGTCGTTGACACACAGGCCGCCGTCGCGGTTGACGTCGAGCGTCTGGAAGAGGCTCCACAGGCGCAGCCTGTGGTCCGGGCCCCCGCAGACGGCGCCGCCGCACGGGTCCACTGACGCCGGCGACGAGGCGGACGAGGCGGCGGCGGCGGCGTCCGGCGGCGGGGAAGCCACGCAGCGGCACAGGACGCTGCTCACCATCGGGCGCGAGGCAGGGGCGCCGGGCGGCGAGGAGAACGCAGAAGACACGCGGGGATCCTCAGACGGCGAGCGCGGGTTCCGAGATGCCGGCAAACGCGCGGGAGGGGCCGCTTCCGGGAGCCCCGCCTCTCTGGCCACGCCCTCATCCCACCTCCGACTAATCACAGGCCGAGACTGCCACCCGGAGGGGCGGGACCTCTCCGAGGACCGCCCACATCGTCCCGGACGGCTGGGATCAATAGAGTGGGCGGGGCGATTCCGGCTCAGCCTGGGGCCGATTCAAACAAAGGGAGGCAGCGATTGGCTGAGCCGGGCCAAACAGGGGAAACCGCGCCGCCATAGGCATAAGTCATGTGATTGGCAGGCGGGAGGCCGCGCGTCCAGTTTCCATTGAGTAACTCTGGACTTCGGAATCGTGAGGATGGGAGGAGCGCTCTTGAATTCGGTGGGAAATTGGGTTTGTGTGAGGAGTAATTGTGAGCTGCATCTCAAACCAGTTTGCGCCCGTGGGTGGAATTACAAATTTATTGGCCAACGGCCAAGCTGAAAGCACTATCGGGATGCTCAGGAGGCCGGGTTTTGATAATCTAACTCCTTAAACCAATAAAAAAATAGTTGAATTTAATAGGATAATGTCCGTAAATACTGCAACGAATTCCCAATGAAGTTAATAAAGACTCAGTGATCCGAGCATTCGGTAGAGACAGGCATACCTTTACACCAATGATCGAGTCAATCCCAGTAAGTGGGCGTGCTCTGGAACTGAGCGACAGACCCAAAGAACCAGTGAGCGTCCTGATCGTGAGCCTCGACCAACCAGGAGGGCGGGTTCCCCCGGAGCAGCGCTGGGAGGCGGGAGGAGGGGAAGTGGGCGGATCTCCGCACACCCGAGCGGAAGAGGCAGATTCAGGAAGCCATTACGCCGCTGGCTGGCAGCGGCCGGGCCGGTCGGCGCCGGGCCCTACGCACTTTGCGTAACGGGGGGGTTACCAAAGGCCTGGTACTTGGCCTTGGCAAACTCGGCCTATCCCATGTAGCGGGGTGGGTGAGGGGCGAGGCTAAGGAAGAAAAAAAAAAAGGGAAATTGGACGGTTGAAGGGATTATAATTTCTTAAAAAAAAGAAGGGTAGGGAGAGGCCATGGCCGTCCCAGCCAAGAAGAGGAAGATGAACTTCTCCGAGCGAGAGGTGGAGATTATCGTGGAGGAGCTGGAGCTGAAGAAGCACCTGCTGGTGAACCACTTCAACGCCGGGGTCCCTCTGGCTGCCAAGAGCGCGGCGTGGCACGGCATCCTGAGAAGGGTCAATGCCGTGGCCACCTGCCGCAGGGAGCTGCCCGAGGTCAAGAAGAAGTGGTCTGATCTCAAGACCGAGGTCCGTCGCAAGGTGGCCCAAGTTCGGGCGGCTGTGGAGGGTGGCGAGGCCCCAGGGCCCGGTGAGGAAGATGGAGCTGGTGGGCCAGGGCCAGGGGGTAGCAGTAGTGGCGGGGGCCCGGCCGTAGCCCCCGTGCTGCTCACCCCCATGCAACAGCGCATCTGCAATCTGCTGGGTGAGGCCACCATCATCAGCCTGCCCAGTACCGCAGAGATCCACCCTGTAGCCCTTGGACCTACGGCTACCGCAGCCGCAGCCACGGTCACCCTGACACAGAGTGAGTGACCTCTCCTGCCCAGTCCAGCGTGCATCCATGGGAAGGGCCAGCAAGAGATGGGGCAGCCTGGGGAAGGTTGGCTGTAAAGGGTCAAAGGTCAGATGGGAGTGTTGGAAGACCTTGAGATCTTCCAAGAGCTCCCCAGACGGAAATAATCTTTTAAAAAAAATTTTTTTTTATTTCAGATTGATGGGAGAGGGATAGAGAGCTAGAAACATCGATGAGAGAGAAATATCAATCAGCTGTCTCCTGCACACCCTCTACCAGGGATGTGCCCGCCACCAAGGTACATGCCCTTGACCGGAATCGAACCTGGGACCTTTCAGTTCGCAGGCTGACGCTCTGTCCACTGAGCCAAACCGGTTTCGATGAGACGGAAATGATCTTGTCCTCTCTGGGGCTTCCTCAGCACCACAGTCTCGACTTCTGCTGAGCTGGATGGCTCTCAACTGCGTTTTGCCGTCATTCCTGTCCATGACTGATCTTTGTGGTCCCTGAAGACAGAGACCATGCTTACATCCTCACAGGACTTTCTACAGGGCCTGGCACATGCTAAGCAGCCAGAATGCATTTGTTCAGTGAGTAGATAGATGGGAATGATCATGCCCAAGTCAAACATGGGTTCTGGACAGAGAGACAGTCTGGGTTTTCGGTGTAGCCAACATTCTTTAGGCACAGTTGAGGAACCTCATGGCTCCTGATGTTCATCTGCTCATTCATTCACCCATCAAACATTAGCATTTATTCTGTGCCAAACCCTGTGCTTGGCACTGGGATTACCAAGGTGCCAATTATAATCTAGTAGGACAGGTAGAACATATCTGAGTAACTGCAGCGTCAGTTGGGAGAACATAACTCAGCGGAGAGAGGGGGGCTGCGTGGTTGGTGGGGGCACACGGGTGAAGTTGGCATTGAAGGGTGGAGAAGGTTCACCCCCCTCTATGCAGGGGGCACAGACAGCGCACCTAGAGTCCTTTCAAAGGCTTTCCACTGGAGAACAATGGGACTGGCTTGGGCTGAACTTTCTAGTTCAGATAAGGGTTTGCGTTGGTATCGGTTAACTGCCTCTTTGTGCCAGGTTCTGAACGGCACTGACCAGGCCAGTGCTTCTCAGCGGGGCTTTAGGAATTGGGTATCTGTGAGTGCCATCCCCTGCAGGGTATTGAAGTAGGTATATTCCCAGGATATTGAAGTAGGAAAGGATCCAACGCTGGCCTCATCCACTTCTGGAACAGGAAGAACTCTTAGGTATTCCACTGACCAACGTGATCAGAAGACAGGGAAGCGTTTATCGGACACTTTGCCAGCCCTCTCCCATCTCCTCCTCGGCTTGGCCATAGGAGACTGGCAGTCAGGAAGGCACTGAAGGAGGCAGGACTAGTGTAGCTACAAACGGCTTATGTAGAGGTTCCCACTCCGGATGCCTGCTGGGTACCGGTGCCAAGGGGATCATGTGACCATACCTGTATCAGCAGAAGCAGCCGAGAGGGGTGGGATTGAGGACTCTGGCGTTGGGGAGACCTGGGTTTGCTTCCTGCACCTGCTGAATAAGCTGTGTGACATTAGGCAAAGCGACTCCATGTTTCTGAGTCTGTTTCCGCATCTCTGAAAATGGACACGACAGGACTTACCTCTTGATGTCATGAGGATCTGTTGAGCTAATGAGTGCCAAGGGCTTAGTACAGTGCCTGGCACATAGCAGGCGCTCTAAATGTTTTGCTAGCATCATTATTAGCATCTGTGCTTTTGCCAGATCTGGGACTGACCCCTTTGGCTACCAAATAGATTAAGAGTCTAAACCTGCTAGGTTCTAGATTTACTTAGGTATTGGTATGGCTATAAAGCCAGAGGAGGCCGGAATTCCCCAGAATAGGGCTTAATACGGCCCATCCCACGTAACCAGCTTCCCTCTTTCTAGAAAGTGACCTGACACGGCCTTTGCTCTCTCCACAGTCCCCACAGAGACCACCTATCACACGCTGGAGGAGGGGGTGGTGGAGTACTGCACGGCCGAGGCCCCCCCGCCCCTGCCCGCGGAGGCCCCCGTGGAGATGATCGCCCAGCACGCTGACCCCTCGGTCAAGCCCCAGGCGCTCAAGAGCCGCATCGCCCTCAACTCGGCCAAGCTGATCCAGGAGCAGCGCGTCACCAACCTGCACGTGAAGGAGATCGCCCAGCACCTGGAGCAGCAGAACGACCTGCTGCAGATGATCCGCCGCTCCCAGGAGCTGCAGGCCTGCGCCCAGGAGCGCCAGGCGCAGGCCATGGAGGGCACGCAGGCGGCCCTGAGCGTCCTCATCCAGATCCTCCGGCCCATGATCAAGGATTTCCGCCGCTACCTGCAGAGCAACACGTCCTGCCCTGCCCCCGCCTCTGACCCCGGACAGATGGCCCAGAACGGACAGCCGGACAGCATCATCCAGTGAGGGCAGGGGTCGAGCCAGCCTTCTGCTGGGATTGGATGCCATCAGGTGGTCTTGTACGTGGGCTCTGCAACTGGCCTTTGGCGAGGGCCTGCCCCGCGGACAGCCCCCTCTGTAACAGACGCACAGGAGGCCCGCTATCTCTGAGAAAGAAAGGAGCCTGGGAGGAGGAACTTGTTGGGGTCCTGAGACCCAGACTCTTACCCCCATCACTCGAGCTGCCTTGTTAAGAACCTTGTTAAGACTGGTTAGCTGGGGTCAGGCACTGGGGAAGGTGGTGGAGGGAGGGGTCATGTGTTGTCACGAGCCTGGTCTTGTGACATGACCCAGACTCCATCTGGGACCCATGGAAGGAAGGCTGTCCCTGGGGAATGATCACACCGCCTCGGGGACCATCCCGCAGTAAGAGGTTGTCAGTGGTGCTGGCAGTAGCACAGTGAGCTCTCCTTCCCTTGGGAGGCAGAGTGCCAGAGAAACCCCACCCTTTCTCCTCAGGCGCCTCAGTTCTCAGGGGACTCCAATGCCAGGCTCTTCCCCACACACTCTGGGCACGGCCAGGGCCTTTGGTAGCGCCCTGGGCTGCCTCTGCCACACACCTGGGATATGGCCCCCGGCTCAGGAATGCTGTGTGGGGTGGGGGTGGCTTGGCCGCCATCTGGTCTTCCGCTGCGTCCCGGGACAGCCCTTTAGGGGTTTGTCCCAACAGCTCTTGACTCAGCTCGAGCTTCAGGCTTTGCGTGCTGGAAGGTTTAGAGAAAGCAAACCGGTGTGGACACCTGTTGCCCCACTGCAGTGGGTCTGTGGTGACCTGTTGGCTCCTTCCAGAAGGTTTGCTTCAAGCCAGTTCTATTTATTCTGTCCATGAACCCCTCCTGGGAAGACCTCCAGGATCTCTGAGGGCCACTCTGGCCAAGCCCTTCCTTCTTT